ACATATAAATAGAAAAATTTGTTTTCGAAGCTTTTAAAATTAGAAAAAAAAAGATGAAAAATTATAATTTGTTTAAATAATTCACTGGTAAATTGCTTTCTTTCTGTAAATTTTTCAATATTTAAATTTCAAATTTAACAAAGCAAAATAAAATATCTGATATTTCATTTAAATTTTACAATTGGATACAATTTGGAGGGTTTTTTTTATTTAAGGTTATTTATGCGTGCCGTTGGGATTTTTAAAAAAATTCGTCTGATAACCTATAAAAATTCATAATATACAATTTTTTTTACAAGCATTTACTATAAATTTGGAATATTAAAAACACATATAAATAGAAAAATTTGTTTTCGAAGCTTTTAAAATTAGAAAAAAAAAGATGAAAAATTATAATTTGTTTAAATAATTCACTGGTAAATTGCTTTCTTTCTGTAAATTTTTCAATATTTAAATTTCAAATTTAACAAAGCAAAATAAAATATCTGATATTTCATTTAAATTTTACAATTCCGAAAGGCAGAATTGTTGATCTGAAATTTTTGTAACCGATTAAAACAAAATATATTTCACCCTTTAAAAGGGAGCTCGTACGGTAGAAAATAAATCAATAGTTCCTTTTTTTTTCAATTAAAAAAAATTAAAGCTGACCTTTTCACCTAAAACGTAATAGGTCTCGGTATGGGTGATTTTATTCTTTACAAAGGCTAAAAATAAAAGTGGAAAACACCTAATGCCGCTAAGCCGCAGTAGAACGAACTTATTCTACCGCAGTTTAATTCCAGGTTCTTAACGGAAAGTACGAATAAAATTTAACTTCGGACAATCGATTGAACTCTTTCTCATACCCACCCTTTTTCTCACGCCCTCCTTCAATAAATCAATCTTTTCAATACGTCATTTATTTATATTTTTGTCGATCAATCAGTCACTATTATATTTTATGACTTCTAAGCTGCAATAGAATAAACCCACTTGACTTTAGTTTACATCGACTACTTTAACCGGATGAACTTAACGGTTAAAATTCCTAATTTTTTACGTTCGGCTGTACTGTAACTACCTTCTTCTCAATTCCTCTTGCAGTAAATCACTATCAATCACATTTTTATACATTTATTTTATACATTTATTTATTATCTTTATATTTTATCACCTGTAAAATTAAACTACCTTTATTAATTCTAGGTTTTCTCGCTCACTCTACGTCCCCTCGCACGTTCACTCTCTCTCTCTCTCTCTCTCTCTCTCTCTCTCTCTCTCTCTCTCTCTCTCTCTCTCTCTCTCTCTCAGTCTTTTTTCCTCTCTAATAATTTAATATATATAATATAATAATATTTCATTCTCTTATCCCTCTCTTTCCCTTCCCCTTTCCATTAATCTATCATTATCAATCGATCACATCTTTATATATTTAACTATTTACGTATCATTAGATTTATTTTATCTGTGCTAACATAAAGCTGTGCGATCATATATAAATTCAAGTTTTTTAGTGGGCAAAAGACGATTTAAATTATTCATTTTCAACGATCTGTCGAAAAATTACTCATTCACCCACCCACTCTTTTCTCATTTCTTCTTTCCAGACATCTGTCATTATTAATTACCTTTTTAGAAACTCGTCTATCTGCGCATCTTTATAGTTTATTTCATAGTAATCAATCAGCGATCCGTTTCTCTATCAACTAACTTAATTACCTCGATGTTTCGTTCTGTACGTCGGTGAGTGATTTTACCATATCCCGTAATCTTCACGGGCGTATTTTTGTAATCAGTGTTGCAATTGAATTTCATTTTTCTAATCATGTAAACACGACTGTATTTTTCTATATGTAATTTATGATCCACTTCATATAATATAGAAATCGTTCAACCGGAATTAAGCTGCATTTATGAATAAGATGTAAAGGAAATGTAAGAAAACTGTAATTAAGTTCACTGCCTCAATTTCAATTAAATTAAAAATTAAAGAAAGAAAATTACTCTCACTTTCTCGTTCAAATCCAGTGAACTAATTTAGAAATCCAGTTAATTAAAACTTCCAATTTTCATCTAAATCATTCAACTAGATTATTCATAACTCATTTATATATTTAATGCGCAACGGCGAGTAAAAATGTCGTTATTCTGTTAACTTCTGCCTAGCTAGGTCTATTGAGAAAATTTGCCTCCGAGAGAAGGTTGAGGGTTTTTTTGATTTTCCACATCCTTGCTTGGACTCCGTTGGTAGGGGAAATGAAGTTTTCTCTTCACAGATGGTTTTCTTCTTACTTTTGTTGATATGTGGAATCATCATTTGCGGTCTAGAGAGAGCAATACCCATGTATCTATATGCCATATAGCAATGTTGTTTCTTTATTCGGGACTTTCTTCATTTCGCAATTTTCGCTTTACAATTTATTTTATTTATTCTTTTTTTCACTTTGTTGTGCAAAATTTTAACTTTTTATTAACTAAAATGTGCTTTACAACAAAAACATTTGTAAATATTAGTTTTCTTAAAACGCTGGAAGAATACTTTTTTACTAAAGATTTTTCAACATATATTATAAAAGGTGTAACCGTTATACTGCGTAAAGCGCATAGGAATAGTATTATTAGTGTAAATGTAATTATGCAAAAATATGCTAAAAGATTCAAAACGCTTCCACTCTTAAAATATTTCGACCCAGTAATATTGATGCAAGAAAAATATGAATTTGCATACAGACAGTTCCTGACTTAACATTATGAAAATATGTAGGGAACAATTATTTAGAATTTGTAACAAACAGTGAAGAGTACATTATCTTTCTCTAAATAATAACTACGTACAAACAACTACACCTATCAGTGACGGAATCTGCTGGCATTTTGTTTTAGGTGATTAATTATGTTTCTATTATAAAGTCATTACAAAAAGAGTTATCTATATCTAGGCTGGTAGAGGAAACCGTTGAACTTATCAATAGGATAACTACTCGGGACGAGAATAGGGTAACCCTCATATGGATACCTGCTCATGAGGGGCACTATGGTAATGAAGAAGCGGACAGCCTGGCCAAAGAAGGATCAAATACTGCATTTGTCGGGCCACAACCGGTATTACCCCACTCTATAAGCACAGCGAAAGAGAGTATTAGTTGCTGGGGAAGGAAACAATTCCTTAAAGAATGGAATATGTCCCCCGGACACAGGCAATCGAAGGAGTTTCTGAAGGAAATCAAACCAAAAGAAACGAAATGGTTATTCTCTAACTTAGGAGGGGAATTAGGAGGCTGATAAATATTCTAACGGGCCATTGCCCCTTGAGAAGACATCTCTTCATAATGGGTACTCTACCAGACCCCTTCTGCCGCTTCTGTGAAACAAATGAAGAAACGGCTCGACACTACCTTGCAGAATGTGATAGGTATGCTAGGGAAAGATTTGAAACTTTCGAAGGAGAGGACATAACCAAAACACTCCGCAGGATAAAATGGTCCAAAATCTTGGGGTTTGTGAATAGGTCCAAAAGGTTTATGCAGGACTCGTGAGCCGACCAGGTCCCGGACCTTTTAGGGAAGGGGTACGGGCCTACCTAGGCTTTTAACCCNCTATTATAAACATATAAACATTTTTGTCTAAGCAAATAGTAACATAAAACGGTTTTCTCTCTCTCACACACTCCCTCTCTTTTTCCCTCATCTTTTTTCCCACACCTGCTCACTCCCTCCCTCTCACTCTGTCCCCCATCTCGCTTACTCGCTCTCTTTCTCTCTCTCTCTCTCTTACGTGCTCTATGTTTCCCTCATCTTCTTTTTTTCCCACACCTGCTCACTCCCTCCCTCTCACTCTGTCACCCCTCTCGATCACTCGCTCGCTCTCACTCTCTCTCTCTCTCTCTCTCTCTCTCTTTCTTTTCTCTGCTCTTTCTTTCTATTTACATTTAAATCTCTTTCTCTGTCTTGTCAATTTATTTTAATTATTCATAGTTTTGAGTAATATTGTACCTCACGTAGTACTATTTTCATTTATATCTAAGTTAAAAATTGTTATTCGGCTGATCAATAGTTAGAAAATAAATTATACATTTATTTAAACCTGACACCTAGAAATTTGTCATATACATTTATTTTTTACCCTTAATTTTTTAAATTTATAGTTTATCCTATGTGTTTTGAAATGCACCTAAATATAATACAATAAATACTCTAAATAAAATTAGGCCTATTATACTATTATTATTATTATTGCTATACTTTTACTCACCCCATCTTGTTTTTCTATAGGAAAAAAACTATATTTTAATATCCCATTGTCATCAATACTCGTTTAATAAAACTAGATTATTACAAATAATTACGTCAATCGTAAACCACCAATAATTATAATAATATGCAATTAGGCAAAAAGGGCGAAACAAGATTGAACGTTTTTACGTTTCACCACTGACATACTCTGTATTTATGTGTCATAAACAATTATAAAAATAAATTAACCAAAATGAACAAGAATCAAACATCTTTCGGGGTGATTATTATCATAGCCGTCCGTTGTAATCATCCCTTAAACAAGTGTTAAATTAAAAAGAAAATTCGTGTCTCAGGTAGCATATGCCACATAAACGTAACTTATCACGCTTTATGCATACGTATTGCAAGACAGAGTGATATACATTCCAAGAAAGGGTATACTATTACACTTTCGTTTTCTCAGACTTGTTTTCGTCTTTAAACGGAATGTTCATGATGAAATATTGTTGATTTTACAAATGGGAATGAAACTGCTATGTTCCTATCAGTTGTAAAATAGTTTCGTATCAATTTTAAAGCAGCATAAGGCATATATATAACTAATGATAATTGACGAATTAAACAAATTTCATGTGATAAATGTCAAATATTTTTCAAAGAAACCTTAATTTCTTACATTTTTTCAAAGGAAACTGGATTTATATATAATCATTTTTCTACTGCAGAATTGATTGAATATTGATTTACCTAAAATGTAGCTGATTATTTAAAGCGATGGTTGAAAAAGGCAAAGTTTATATTGTAGCTTTTGTTAAATCGTATCCTTACAACAAAATTTAATTCTTCCCACAGATCCTCTAAAGACAGAAAATTGCTGGTAAGTTTGTTTTTGTCAACGTCAGTCACAAATAATAATTAATAAAAAAACTCGCTATTTTCCTTTCAGATGACACAATACATTTCCGCTTGTTACTTGTTTTCTTTTGATCAAGCGATTTACGTTAATTTGCGAATATATTTTTATCAATATTTCAAGCATGGAAGGGCATGGAACAGGTAGTGTGAGAGATATTGAATAATGATCAAACTGTTGACAATACAAAGCGAAAATTAAAAAAAAAAAAACCGGAAACACTTCTTTTTCTCTTTAATTTACACAATTATAACAGAATATTTGCTTAAAAAGGACAATTTGTAATTAAATTCCTCCACTTTGTATCAGCCGCCGGCTTTTGAACAAGGGGACTTTTTGTGCCTTTTGCAACTCATACATCCATCCTTTTACAATGTGTGTAATGGGCTGTCGGTAGAAAGCCTCCAAACATATATATATATATATATATATATATATATATATATGTGTGTGTGTGTGTGTGTGTGTGTGTGTGTGTGTGTGTATGTGTATATTCCAACCGTGCAGAACCTTTTGAGGGCCGTGATTTCCTATGTCGAAATAATTATATGAAAATCAATTAAAAAACTCCCGAAAAATCAGAAGTATAACTAACCTTTGTGTCCATTCACGAGACGCAAAAAATTCAACAAGATTGGTGTCATAAATTTCATTTTTTGAAGGCAGAGAAAACAAACCGTATTTGTTAATTAAACACGGTATGAAATATAGAAGAAGAAAAGTGAAAGAAAAATTTATTCTTGAAATATTTACAATTATACACATAATAATTTTACTTGAGTGATTTTTTCTAACTTTTTTTATTATTATTGTTTATTTTTATTACAATCTGTAATTATTATTTACAATATGTAATTTGCGGATACATGAACTTATGTACCTTTACATTGAGGGTAGAAAATAATCAATGTTATCCTCCCTCTTCACTTTGTTTATGTTTTTTTTACATTCACCAATTTCGTGGTCCGCTTGACCAATTAATATATTACAATTAAGGTTTTTAGTTGAGATAGAAAAGTCAATGGCACGAACGGGATTCGAACCCACGATCTTCGGCTTCCTTTACTCGGAAAGGAGGGCGCAGGGCTATTTCCTCTTAAGACGCCTTATGGGGTTGTAGGGATGGTTTGTATCGGACAGGGCTTGGGCAAGACTATTTGGATGGTGGAAGAGTTTTTTGTGAAACTTGGTAAATTTTTGGGGAATAAATTTTTGGATATAAGGAATTTGAAGGTCGTTGTGGAGGGTAGCATTTGAGACATAATAAGGAGCATTTACAATGGATCTGAGGAATTCATATTGAAAGGTTTGGAGACGTTGGATATTGGAAGGTTTAGCCGTTCCTCACAGTTCTATTCCGTACGTCCAAATCGGTTGTAGTAATGTTTTGTAAATTGTAAGTTTGTTTTTTGTCGATAGTTTAGACTGTCGTCCGATAATTCTGTGCAGTAGACCATACCGTCTGTTTAGGTTTTGTCGAGTCAGTTGTATGTTGATTCCACGTTAGTCGTGGAACCCAAGGTAGCGAACGCAGTCGAATTTGGGGATAGGAACGTGGTTGTAGTATATCATGAGAGGAGGTTTGCTTCGGAGTGTAAATGTGACATGGACGATTTTGCTTTCGTTTATCTTCATTTTCCATTGTCTTCACCAATCTGATATACATGAGATATGTTCCTGCAGATCTTCCGAAGCAACCGCAGGAATTGGAGGATAGTACAGCTGTATCATCGGCGAAGGATGCAAGTAAGGTGGTAGGTTTAGTGGGAATATCTGCAGTATAAAGGATGTAGAGGATTGGTCCGAGCACACTGCCCTGCGGTACTCCCGCAGCCAGAGAGCAGTATTCGGAGTAATCTGATCCTTGTCGGACCCGAAAGAACCGCTCTGTTAGATAAGAGCGAAGGATTAAGTAAAGAGTATTTGGAAGGATACGCTTTAATTTGTACAGTTTTTCTAACTAAAATAATTATACAAAACTTTAAAAAGTAGGTATTTATTTAAACGATAGTCCGAAGTATTGGGACATTACCAAAGGTATATAACGAGTAGTATGGTTCCAGTCAGGGCCATTCAGGAATGGAACAAACTGAATCGTCATAACCGTTTGGCAGTTAATAGCAATTTCTCTGAACCCCACAGGAGGTATAGCTCATTTCGCAGGTACATATTGAACAGAGCAGATATTACAGAAGCAGTAGTTGGATAAAGCTTAGTGTTCAACATGACAAGTTCCACAATATATTTGGTAGGATCGGGGATGTGGTCCAAAGAATGACTCTACAACGGATACATATAAATATAATATTTTATAATTGCTCATGTGTGTAATTGAAAATTAAAAATCACCTTGCTTTTCCAACTTACAGATTCTCTGTCAGTCGTTTCAAACTCCACTGTACATTCAACTTAAACCATTGATGTCTGATTGTAAGTTACATGCATTTTCATTCATAAAAATGCACATAATCTCTTTAATGAGTCGCATTAAACGACAAAATAAATAAATGAAATAAAATAATCTATGTAAAATGTAATTCATTCGATTTCGTGGTCCGATTGATCAAATAACAGCTTTGAATTAATTAATCATTAAGCAAGATATTGGTTGAAAAAATGTCAGTAACACAAGCGGGATTCGAACCCACAACCTTCGACTAAATACGCCGCTGCTCTACCACTTGAGCTATCGTGACTTCGAACCACACGAACATCAATTTCCCATCTCAACCTGAAAAATGGCAAAAAGGAGGGAAAATTCGAGAGATGAGGTTGAGATGGGAAGTTTGTGTGAGCGGATCGAAGGCACGATAACTCAAGTGGTAGAGTAGCGGCGTATTCAGCTAAAGGTCGTGGGTTCAACCTTTCGAACTTTTCTCCCTTTTGCCATTTTTCAGCTCTCCGTGGCCAATTCATTTATCGCCGAGAATCAAATAGATTCCACGACATTTGAAAAATTTAAAATAAGGCTTTTAATAACAATTCCCAAACGTGGACAGACACAACAGTACCTGATAATAACCTTCACTAGTCCTCTTTGTTTACGATGATTTTGTCTGTGATAATAGTTTGTAATAAATGCCATTTATTTATTTATTTATTTATTGAAAACATTGTACTCTGTATAAGAAATGACAAAAATATTGAAAAAATATCTATACATGTTGAAAAGAAAAAACAATTTTAAACACTGGCAGAGAATCTGTAAGTTGGAAAAGCAAGATGATTTTTGATTTTCACTTACACAGATGCGCAATTATAAAATATGTTCATATGTATCCGTTGTAGCCCTCTGAGGATGGTGAAATAAAAGACCCAAAACTTAGCGTAGTTTCACCACGAGAACATTCTTTGAACCACATCCATGATCATACCAAATATATTGTTGAATACAGCTGGTCGTTCACGTTTACATCACGACAAGTTTCCCCCGAAGTCTAAATGATATCTTGCGGTCTATAAATCCAGTGTAGGTTCCTTTAATAGGCTCGCGCACTTTATACCTGGAGCCAGTTCTCTGTTGAGTGAAAAGTTTTCAGAAGTCATCGCTCTTAGACCGAAAGAAGCTCTCTTTTCATCTTTGAATTCCGACAATATCGTTTTTAAATCCTCTTTTAATAATTTCGCTTTGAAGATTATTGCAACCACCGAAGTTTTCAGCCGGGGATGTCCAATCTTTTGGCAAGAAAATCCTCCTCTTTATTTTTTAAATTGTCATTAAAGATCGAATCCATAGACCCTAAGAAATAGGGTGTGAATCTGCCTTATTAGCCATTTTTACAATGTAATTCAAGGGCTAACTCATCGTGTTGGTAATTTCCGCCTCCAAGTGAATAATGTTGGTTGGAACTTGGTAAGTAAAACAACTTTTGTATCAACATGTGTAAAACAGTGTCAACCATCGACCCTTCTGTATACACCAAGTCTGGGGAGCTTAGCAAAACACTGCTCTTACTACAGCATTAAACATTTTTCGTTTTTCAATAAAAGTACGTTTGAGTTTGCGAACGGTTCCTTCCAATTTAGCAACAGGGTAGGTATGAAATGTATATTCGTTCTATTTCAGCCGTTTTATTTTTATCAAATGCGTAATCAATGTATGTAACATGCTGTCTAAAACTGAAATTTTTTAAAATAAATATAGTAATATTTGTCTTGGCTGTGTAGTGTGTGTAAAAGTGCAATTAATTGTTATATAAAATCTTTATAGCGATTTCAATTTTTCATGTGTGGTGTTTAGTGACCATTAGTTGATGGTTTTTTGGAGATCGTGTGATGCGGTCTGGTGTGACGTAGGTTTTAGAAAAGCATTTTCTTTATCGTGCCAACGTTTCGATCTTTATTGAGATCATCTTCAGAGCTCAAAGTGATTGTTTTCTGTGTAATTTTGTGATGGTGATGATATATGTATGTTATCTATATTGAATTTGAATAATGTTATTTATTCAGAAATCGTGAGATGCGGTCTGGTGTGATGTAGGTTTCAGAAAACATTTTCTTTGTCGTGCTAACGTTTCGATCTTTATTGACATCATCTTCAGGGCCTGGGATATATAAACATTGTTTAAATTTTACAAATAGATGTGGGATGTGAACAAAGTTAATTCATATAATGATAAGAATTTTAGACTCAATCAAATTATTTGTACTCACTTAAAGTGTTTGTTTTTTGTGTAGATGTGTCATTATTGTGTGTCGTGTTGAGAGTGCCAGTTATATATTGCTGTTTTATGTTTATATACGTTGGATTTTGAAGGGATTGGAAAGACATTTTCATATGATGAGTCGGCTTCTTTGAGGTGAAAAGATGGTTAGTAGTTCGGCCTGATCGTTCCAGGATCTGATTTGATTCTCGGATACAAATGATATAGATTACAGAAATAAAAATCAGATATATTACACGACATTTGAAAAATGGCAAAAAGGAGAGAAAATTCGAGAGCTGAGGTTGAGATGGGAAGTTA